GAAGACTTTTAAATATCTTGATGAAGAACATGCATCGACGTGACTTTTCACGTTAGCTAATGGCCATTCAAATTGAAGCTTTAAGTTTATTTGAGGATCTAAAGAAAAAACAGGGCACTAGTGCTGAACGTAAAACCTTCGTGGCAAGTTGTGGTTGGCCTGAACGTTTTAAGAAACGTTTAAAACTGCGTAACTTACAAATAACAGATGAGTCTGCAAGTGCTGACAAAGAAGTCACAGCTGTTTACCCGGCTTTACTAATTTGCTAATATCCTTCCTTATGGTTGTTTGCATTGGATTTTATATGTAGCGTGTTTATATAATTCTGCGTCTGCAGCACTCCTGCTCTCCCTCTCAGCTCTCCCTTGCCGTAGCAATTTAACTCTTGTTTATATACCTGGAGCATACCTGGAGGGGGTTTCGGGGGTCAACGCCTCCTCGGCCCTGTCTGTGACCAGGCCTCATGGTGGATCAGGGACTGATCAACCAGGCTGATAATGGTAAGACACATATGCAACAGTTAGACAACTTTATTCCGAAACGTTTCGCCTACACAGTAGGCTTCTTCAGTCGAATACAGAAAGCAGGCAGGAACAGTAGAGATGTGAAGACGATGTAATCAGTCCATCACCCTTAAAGTCGTAGAATTTGAGGTTGTCAGTCCCTCGGCCTGGAGAAGTTCAGTTCCATAGTCAGGAATGGAACTGAACTTCTCCAGGCCGAGGGACTGACAACCTCAAATTCTACGACTTTAAGGGTGATGGACTGATTACATCGTCTTCACATCTCTACTGTTCCTGCCTGCTTTCTGTATTCGACTGAAGAAGCCTACTGTGTAGGCGAAACGTTTCGGAATAAAGTTGTCTAACTGTTGCATATGTGTCTTACCTAACAACCTGTCGGTATTGTATACCATTTTGATGTTCAGGCTGATAATGTTGACCGCACGCAACCCGACATACGAACATAACCCAGCTAGTCAGGTACTGACTTTAGGTGCCTGTCCAACGCCTTGAAGACAGCCAGGGGTCTATTGGTAATACTCCTTATGTATGCTGGGAGGCAGTTGAACAGTCTTGGGCCCCTGACACTTATTGTGTTGTCTCTTATCGTGCTAGTGACACCCCTGCTTTTCATTGGGGAGATGTTACATCTCCTGCCTAATCTTTTGCTTTCATATCCTATGATAAAATTGGTTTCGTAATAAGTCGTTTCGCTTAAAGTCGCAGCTTCGAAGAACCTATCGACCTGAGGACTTCCTGCTCACATCAGCATATATGCTGACTTCGTTTTTTTTTTTCAGTTTAATCCCTACAATAGTGATTAAAATATTCCTGACTGGTGGTGAGCAGGAGGTATGTAGTCTTAATGAACCTTCGTGGGGGAGTCAGAGTTTAAAACCAGCTAACCAGGGAACTGACCACTGTGATAAGGCACACTTTCGTAGGTGGAATAATAGTTGTAAACTGAAAGATTTTAATAGAAAAGGCCAATTGTTTCGAGTTCATGTTATTTATTAAAGGGAATATTTGGCCTCGAGTGGCTTCATGAATGATGCTGGAACTCATGGCCAAACGTTTTCTTTGATAAATATCCAGAACTGCATACCATACTATTTCCGGCGATGTTTCGCCCACTGGGTCAAGTAGAAGTCAGGTGACGCTGAACGAAGGTGAGGTTCATTCAGATCTGAAGGTCAGGTATTGCTGGATGAGGTTCGGATTTGGGTCAGGTAGCAGCAATTCGTGTTTTCTCTGTTGATCAGAGATGAAGTGTGCAGTTGATTTTGTAAAATGTTCATCCTGCCATACACGTCTTTAAGTTGAAGAATTAGGCACATGTGCAACAATTGGGTATCTTTATTTGTAGACGTTTCGCTCTCCAAAGGCTTTATCAGTACATTACAAGGATAGAATGTGATGTGTATGGTAGCAGCCTCCAGGCACCTCCACTTGGAATTTTGTGAGTAAATGATATGTCTGCGATTTCAATGTATGATGTGGGAATGAGTGCTGAGGAATATCATACATGCATGTGTGTGCTGTCAACTCTGTGTAGCAATCACAGAACTGGTAGGACCGTATGCGATCTTGTGTTCCTGTAATACAAAGTTCAAATCCCTGGCTGTCTCACCTACGTAACAAACATCGCATCCTCCACATGGGATGGTGTGAATATCTTCACTGCTTCTGCTGTCTCCTCTGTACTCGACCTAAATGTTGCACACGTGTCTTGCAATATGGGATGTTGCAAAGTTCAGCTGTGCCTGTGTTCCTGCCAGTCTGAGCAATTGTGGTGACTTCTTCAATGTTGCTGATAGCGATTACGGCCATATTCATGGTCTTCCTTCAGATGATTGGTGATGTCATGAATCCAGTAGAATCGATAAATATTAGAAATCCAAATTGCCACGACCTGACGACCACCAAATTCTAAATTCACCCGGAGTTGCCAGATCTTCAGATCCGGAGCTCACCTTCTCTCGGTATCACCTGACCTGCACCTGACAGAAGATTTTGGTTACATCCACAACACAGCCAAGGATCACATGTTTTCCAGCGTACTCAAAATTTCGCTATGACCTCACCTAAGGTAATGTTATTTTCTTCTGCAACACGATACTGCTTGTGGATATTGTAGTTCCAGTAGAATATAGTCAAGGAATTGAAGTACAATTTGTGCTTCTGCACCTCCCCAGTATGAGGTTATGTTAGATAAGGTTCGTTAGGAAACAGAACAAGTGTTTCCTGACACGGATTTTAGTTATATGATGACCGACAGTTGGATCTTTTTAGAGGTATGAGATGCACGTCTTTGCTCTATTTACACTGCCTACAAGGAGACTCTTATCACTACTGGAAAGTTTAGCACACATTGTCCACTACTACGATCCTCCTCTCTTGCCAACGACACTGGAAATCACCTGGCGGCAACTTTGGAGGATCTATCAAAGATTTCACTACTATACGACCACTTTGCAAGGATCACCTCGATCTGCCACTTTCGACCATCAGTCACCTCCAGCAACTCTCCCTTACCCCTGTGATATCTCAAGATGGGTGAGTAACAAACATTCTGGCGTGCTTAGAACAGTGGGACCATCAGTCACCTCCAGCAACTCTCCCTTACCCCTGTGATATCTCAAGATGGGTGAGTAACAAACATTCTGGCGTGCCTAGAACAGTGGTAAAAAAAAAAAAAACTCACAATACCAGAAGACTTTGATTTGTCGAATAAGGAGCTCATTGTGTTGTGGGTAAGATGGGGAGTGGAAAGGACTGGAATAATAAGTGTCCTGTCAATCTCCTTCCGATCTCTTGCGCCGCATCGCCAACTTTGGTGACCTGGAATACCGTACGTAAAGTTATGTGGCATACGAAGTATGTCTCTGGGAAGACTAAAAGAGAAAGGAAATTGTATGAATAGCGTTCCTCCTTCAAGCATAACACAACTCTCCGAGACATGGGCGACACCTCAAACCAACAACTGGTATGAGAATACCGAGGCTGCTGGCTCACCTTTTTCCCAGATGGAAGCGAAAAAAAACCGTTTTCCCCAAGAGAATGAGCTAGACATCCTTAATACATTCAAGTTCTGCATGCGGAGCTGCTTCCTTAGCGGAAACTAAAGATCAGGGTGGCGTGTGGACTCGAGGATGCCAGGGACAGCTCACGGCGAAGGAGCTTCGTAAAGCAAAAGAGAACGGACAACACCGCCTGTAGCAATGGCGATGATCATGAACGCCGAACCGATAGAAACAGAAGGTATTCCGAGAGTCTTCAAGTCATTGTGGATTAAAAGGGGCACTTCCTCAGAACATGGAAAATCGCCGACATCGTGCCTACCCAGGTCAATTCCTTGGATTAAGAAGCTTGAGGGATATATATACTGAGAGAAGCCTCTAGGTATGTGTATCCATCTTTTTGTGGTATATATACTGAGAGAAGCCTCTAGGTATGTGTATCCATCTTTTTAAGTAGAAAAAGATAGCCACATATACCTAGTCAGCTAGACGGACTGACTTAAAAAAATCTATCTTTTCGAAAAATATATTTTGTGCATTGATAGATTATTATTAAATCACATATAAACGTTTTTTTTCTTTTGTACCAAAACCTGTTTTAGCAACCTGACTTAGCCTTGTTAATAATGCATCTCATAAACGAGATTACTCGATTTAATAAACCATTTATACACAAATTAACGTGATATAATGTAGCTGATATAATATAAAATAAAGTGAGTTCTCAAGTCACGACTTAATAAAGTTTTGGAAGAATAAACATAAATACAGTATAATGCGACCTTTTATTGACTACTTCTCGCATTATATTGCCTTTGTGCTTATTTTTCCATCGTGTCAGTATTTTAGACCTTTTATCTCCATCGACAAAGTTCTTTACAGAGTAAAATGGAGCAAAATCTTGTTCTGGAAATATAACACTTAAGCAGTATAATGTAATCCCTTATTGTCAACGTTTCGCCCACGCATCTTTGCATACTTGTCAACAATAAGAAATTTTATTTTTTTCAGAATGATTTTTGGGGAAGTGTTGCAACTGTGTGTTTACCCTTGAGTTGCGTGGCAAAACGATTTATTTTAATAAGCTTAAATCGTTGTCTTCTTTGATATGTACGACAGGATCCCTTACATATAGAGGCTTGGGCAGTATAGACAGCACTCACCTTGTGAGCATTCAGAGGCTCTTGCAATACTCACCTATAGAGGTTTGTACATTTTTTACCTAGAGAGGGTTCGTGTAGAACTCACCTGGAGAGGTTTATACAGCACTCACCTTGAGAGGATTCGTAGGTTGTTGCAATATTCACCTATAGGGATTCGTAAATTTCTTACCTAGAGATGGTTCGTGTGGTGCTCACCTAGAGGGGTTCATACAGTATTCACCTGGAGAAGTTAAGGTAGTACTCACCTCAGATGGTTCGTGCAGCACCCACCTAGGAAGGTACCTAACGTATTGGGGGATTTATGTAGTACTCACCTAGAGAGGGAACATACACGTTGAGGTACAGACAATCCTCTGCTTGGTGAGTCAAGTAGTTGGCCAGCCGGCGAATGTGTGCTAGTCGCTGCCGAGGAACCATCGATTCTGATTCCTCCTCCCACAGCTCCGGCAGGTGCTGGGGGCAGACAGGACCGTACTGGTCTGCCATACGTTCCCCAGCCCAAGGACTAGGCGTTCTCGTCGGGCTGAACCGGTTGGAGCCAATGGGAGGTGTAGCGTATGGGACTCCCAAGAAGACTTCGACTGGCCGAAGGTGCTTGTTGGGGAGCGGGCGGATAGATCCCCTTAACTTCCCGTACTTGGTAGTGACTACTCTGGGACTGCGCTTCTCCCCGCCCACCGCCCCTACCATACTCAGCAGCAGTAGTAGCATCACGCCCACCAGCGAGAAGCTCATGGCGGGGGGATGAGAACCCCCACCATCCAGTTCACAGGTCGTCACGCCGCTCGCCTCGCTGAGTCGTCGCCTACTGCCGCTCGTGCCGCCAAACGTTGCATGTTGCATGAGAACCCTGGTGCTGCTGGTACCCTCAGCATTGCCCGCCTGCCACCTCAACGCCAACACATGCCCCGGGCACACACCCTCACTCCCACACCGCCATCTGGACGGCTCTCCCGTACCAACAACCCAGAAGCAGCGTGTGATCTTCACAAAGATCTGCCAGAAGTCACATCACCTCCACGACCACACACCACCACACACGACCACTACCACCTGTGGGAAGATAATCACACGTGAGTCTCTTGCTCTACAAGTCATAAATGTAAATTACCAGCACGTAAAGCAGAGTTATTTTACACTTAGTGAAAAATTATGTCATGAGCACATAGCAATCTTCTGTTACTTTCCCGTTTCGTATATATATATATATATATATATATATATATATATATATATATATATATATATATATATATATATATATATATATAATATATATATATATATATATAAATGGAGGTTTTGAAACACTTCCTAAAATACTTTGTATCATGTATATATAACAGCATTTTAAAAGTGTATTTAAGCAGACATTAAGTGAGGTATGGCAGTATTGTAGCCATGTTATTGTTATTAACGAGACGATTATTGGTAGGTTGGCCATGCTTTTTTCCAGCTAATAGGAGAGCCCGATTGCATTCCTGATGATGATGACTACATTATCGAAGTTTATTTAATCAGTGGAAGAGTTGTGTCTTCAAGCAACAAATTGAGAGATTGTTGCTGCCGTTAATGTGTTCCTCTCATCCTTCTGCAGGAGGATGACTAGTCAGTATCTGCTTAAGATCACTGCCAATACAGTATTTCTGAAGAATATACATGAAGTCCCAGGGGTCAGTTAATGGCCAGTAAGGAACAGTCAACAGCCAGTGACAGACAGCAGGGCACTCTGTGAAACAACCAAAACAGTGGTGGCATTGTTGGTCCAGACCATGGCCAGTGTGTGTGGGCAGGCCACGGCCAGGGTGCATCTAGGCCACGGCTGTGTTTGGCCAGGATACAGCCAGTGGAAACACCCAGATCCTGTTACAGGCACACTCCATTTCAGGAAGAACAATGTAAACTATTGATGCACCACGTGTAACTGCAGCAGAGATATACAACAGATAGTGTTGTGTCGTGTGGTAATGTCAGGGCGATACAGCGATCACTAGTTACTTATCTTGTGAAATTACAACAGTGATGTAGCGATAATAGTGGCACTGTGTCATGAGGAACTGCTAGGATGCAGTCAGGAGACCAACTGGATTAACAAAACTCTATTGTCCAAGATTTGTGTGATTACTTTCAACAGTGAATTGTGTTTTTTCTCGGTCACTCAGCTCAGTTGCCACAGCCTGTTTATAAATGTACGTTTACTCGAACCCATCCTCCTCAAACACACACACACACACACACACACACACACACACACATTTTCAAGAAAGGAGACAGACATGATGCACTAAACTATAGACCAGTGTCACTGACGTGTATAGTACGTAAAGTCATGGAGAAGATTATCAGGAGGAGAGTGGTGGAGCACCTAGAAAGTCACAAGCTTATAAACGACAACCAGCACGGATTCAGGGAAGGCAAATCCTGTGTCACAAACCTACTGGAGTTTTATGACAAGGTAACGGAAGCAAGGCAAGAATGAACTCGGTACAGTTCCTCACAAGAGATTAATGCAAAAAATAGATGATCAAGCACATATAACAGGAAGGGCACTGAAATGGAACAGAGAATACCTGACAGGGAGGAAAAAACGAGCCATGGTACGTGAGGAGATATTAAAGTGGGCGCCTGTGACGAGTTGGGTTCCACAGGGGTCAGTCCTAGGACCAGTGCTATTTTTGGAGTATGTGAATAATATGACGGAAGGGATAGACTTAGAAGTGTCCCTGTTTGCAGATGATGTGAAGCTAATGAGGAGAATTAAATCAGATGAAGATCAGGCAGAACTACAAAGAGACCTGGACAGGCTGGACAAGCAACTGGCTCCTAGAATTTAACCCAGCCAGATGTAAAGTCGTGAAGATCGGGGAAGGGCAAAGAAGGCCACAGATAGAGTATAGGCTAGGTGGCCAAAGACTGCAAACCTCGCTCAAGGAAAAGGATCTTGGGGTGGGTATAATACCGAGCACATCTCCCGAGGCGAACATCAACTAGATAACTGCTGCAGCATATGGGTGCCTGGCAAACCTGAGAATACCGTTCCGATACTTTAGTAAGGATTCATTCAAGACACTGTACATCATGTGCGTCAGGCACATACTGGAGTATGCAGCACCAGTTTGGAACACACACCTGGTCAGGCACGTCATAAAATTAGAGAAAGTGCAAAGGTTTGCATCAAGGAAAGTTCCAGAGCTAAGGGAATGTCCTACGATGAGAGGTTAAGGGAAATCGGCCTGACGATACTGGAGGACAGGAGGGATAGGGGAGACATGATAACGACATACAAAATACTGCAAGAAATTAACAAAGTGGACAGAGACAAGATGTTCCAGAGATGGGACACAGAAACAAGGGGTCACGATTGGAAGTTGAACTCAGATAAGTCAAATGGATGTTAGGAAGTAGTTCTTTAGTCATAGAGTTGTCTGGCAAGTGATGTAGTGGAGACTGGAACCATACACAGTTTTAAGACGAGGTATGATAAAGCTCATAACGTAGGGAGAGGACCTAGTAGCGACCAATGAAGAGGCGGGGCCAGGAGCTATGTATCGACCCCTTCAACCACAAATAGGTGAGTACAAACGCGCACACACACTTTCAAGCATGAACACACTCAAATCACAGGGCAGCATTTTCCAAGCTAATTCTAGGCGCTTACTCCTTAGGATCGTACTGGCCCTGAAGAATGGTAAACAATGAAGAATTCACTCCGGAAAGAATAGCCCCACTTCCGTTCATCAGAAGCCGTTCACCAGCATCAAGACACCTCCTTGATGAAAGACATAGTGTGAAGTTACCAATAAAGCCGGTAGCAAACCCATGAGTGAAAGTTTTAAAAGCTGAAGAGGAAAGTTGTGAGAAAAGGCTTCCAGTGAGAAGTTCAATTAAATGCTTTCTTCAGGAAAGCATTTATGCTGGAAAGGCTCAATGTCTCTCACTGTTATCCAGGAACCTCGTTTGGGAGACTGAAGAGGATCTCAGTCGGAGGTCGAAATAGAGACAACCAGTCTCCTTCTATTCTGTCTTGAATAACAACAACTAAAATCTATTTGCGTAAATATGTGGAATATATAGGCGGCTTATTAACTATCAGGGCAAATCTGGTTAATGTTTGATGTGTCACAGTGAAAAACTCGTATTTTTTTATTTAGTGGTTGTCTGAATGTTTCGGAATGTCGACCAGGGAGACTGTAGTGTCGGCTGAATGTGTTGCTCAGCTTATGTGAAGCCTCGAAGCTGACGGCTGATACACTGTACATTATCTAATGAATCCATCTCAGTTAATGCTTAAGTACTGAGAACAACACTGTATGTATACGTGGTGTAATGTATAGTTTAGTAAGTATACACCTCGAGTTTGTTTTAATACTTATATGACGAATTATAGTATCCATGACTGAGTACAGGTGACTGCAGACTTAGTGAACCCTGTTGTAGTCATTAGGCTTCAGACTTAGCAAAGCAACCGAGAATGGGAATCAGTTGGATATGGACAGTGTCTGAGGTGGATTATGTCAGTGCATCAAGGACGGGAACACTGTTCGACGTGACTAACGTACAGTACTATGTAGGAAAGGATATCTTTGACGGTTCCAGAGGTTGCGTTGGATGATGGTACGTCTCAGCAACGTTAGTGAGTTGATATACGTCTTTATTTTGCCCCGAATGAAAGTTATGATGTGGTTAGAGTTTTTCTCCGAGGACATATTGTGGGAAAAACAAACGAAGTTCAAGGTTGATTAATGAGGCTTTAAGTTTATCGACTACACGAGGGTCATTAAGGCTCCATGTCACCTGCCCTCCAAAATAAACTCTTACCATATATACATTGAGAAATATATTCCTTACGGTGCATATATCCTTTTGCGTGTAATGGAGTGTATTTAATTAATTGACCCCCTCTGCATACATTAAGTTTTATTAATGAGTATGCTATTATTTATGCGAGGGAGTGAAGGGGACATACATAAATGCATATGGAAGTAACATGTAATTGGGAATTAAAGTGGAAAGCCACTGACAGTTTAAAAACTCGATCAGTTACCTCAACATAGTGAGTTCTGGGCAGTTTGGGTGAGTATTGGTAGATAAACTGCCACTCAAAATGTGAGAAAGTTGATGGCAGTGTATATAATGTCCTTTGGAGAATGTCTTTACCTGAGATCAAATTGATCTCATTGCCAAGACGTTGAATGATCCTTAATGTGATAATATTAATGCTGAGGATAATATTAATGCTGAATATAATAATGCTAATGCTGAATATACTATAAAAATTCTTTTAGTTCAAGAAAACTGTAAGATCTTAAGTGGTATATTTTTTTATGGCATTATGCTGTATACGTATAATCTTGTATGTTAATACAATGAATTATTTTCTTCCCGTTTTCAACATGTTTTGATTTATTCTAATTAAACGTTACATGACGTTACAACACATCCATTCCCCATGTATGGAAAATGTACACTTACGATAATTATCGTAAGTGTACTAATTATAATTAGTGGCCTGGTGGCTGAAACTCTCTTCACACGGCGAGGGTCCAGGTTCGATTCCTGGTGAAGGTAGAAACATTGGGCGTCTTTCTTTACACCTGTTTATGTTCCCCATCAGTAAAATTGGTACCTGGGTGTTGGTGGACTGGTGTGGGTCACATCCTGGGTGTTAGCGGACTGGTGTGGGTCACATCCTGGGTGTTAGTGGACTGGTGTAGGTCACATCCTGGGTGTTAGTGGACTGGTGTGGGTCACATCCTGGGTGTTAGTGGACTGGTGTGGGTCACATCCTGGGTGTTAGTGGACTGGTGTGGGTCACATCCTGGGTGTTAGTGGACTGGTGTGGGTCACATCCTGGGTGTTAGTGGACTGGTGTAGGTCAAAACCCTGGGTGTTAGTGGACTGGTGTGGGTCACATCCTGGTGTTAGTGGACTGGTGTGGGTCACATCCTGGGTGTTAGTGGACTGGTGTGGGTCACATCCTGGGTGTTAGTGGACTGGTGTGGGTCACATCCTGGGTGTTAGTGGACTGGTGTGGGTCACATCCTGGGTGTTAG